TATAATATATTATAGTCCTACTTGATTTGATTTCCAAATAAGAATTATATTATATACTTGTGCCTGAAGAAAGTTCTTGCCCTACAATATTTGTAGCCATGCTCTCTCTCTCTCTCTCTCTCTCTCCCCACCCCTCTCTTATTGATCTCCATCTTCATTCAAATCTTGTGTGAGCCCAGATTCTAAGAGTAGCCTTGCCCATCTGTTGTGGCAGCCAAAAGAAAAGAATTGAATCAAAAGAAAACTAACACTTTCGTGGTCAATAAAACAATTTATTGTGGAATCAGTTTTAGGGGATGGGCATATTTGTGTATGTGTGTATACATGTGAATGAATGGATGGAGATCAATAAGAGAGGGGTGGGGAGAGAGAGAGAGAGAGAGAGAGACTACCATGGCTACAAATATTGTAGGGCAAGAACTTTCTTCAGGCACAAGTATATAATATAATTCTTATTTGGAAATCAAATCAAGTAGGACTATAATATATTATAAAGTTTATGTTTACATATGTGTTAGTCTATGACCATAACAAAGATTTGATTTATATTTACATAATCTGCTTATTTGTGTTTATCTATAATGCATTCAATTAGTCTAGTTTCCGGAGTTAACACATTGAGCCATACAATATTTTTCTGATTGTTTTTGCTTATCCAGTAAGAACTGGCAGGGCCAGGTTTCTTCAGATCGTATCAGCAAAGAGCCCCAGAGGTTGTGCCTTCTCTGTCACTGCCATCTCCCCTTTGAAACACCACCTCTGCTCACTCTTGAACTTGTGGTTCTTCAGGACAGTGACTGAGTTGGAAAAAACATAAGTGATATACAGAACTCACTAGTCTAACTATGCAGTTTGCTAGTTTGTGATTCAGTGTTCCTGATGTAGAATCATGTGAACCCAGCCTCCATCACTATTGTAGGTTTAAAAAAATATATCCCTGAAGTACTAATTCAAAGCAGCAATAACCATGTTAACATTCTATGCAACAAGAAACTAATCACTGAGTTCTAAAATATTTTCCAGCTCACACACAAACACAAGGACAAAGTTAATCCACAGGGTGCCACACTTTACATTCTTTGCTATTACAACCAAAAACAAAAAAAAGGATGGTTATCATTAGGTGGTTGCTTATAAAAACTTCATTATCTGTGAGAGCCCTTTTTATTTATTAAAAAATAATCTTAGTATTAAAAGTACATGAAGTCCCAAGTCCACAACTGGATAATTTTAAAAAATAAATCCATAGACTTAATCCTTTGTTGTCCTTAGACTCAGGTCAAAGATGCAAGAGATGGGGAAGAAGCAGATGAATCCAAAATTTTGGCTGATGTTACAGTTC